CCCATCAATACACATCTTTCCATATGGAGAAATTTCAATATGAATTGTTCTCTACAATGATAAATTTATATGAGAAGCCATAACACAACTCTATCTGTGACGTTTATTCTACAAATACTTTTTTATGTACCAGTTCTAGACACCAGGGTAAGCATGTGCCAGAGTCAAAAGTCATGGGCATCTATTCTGGTGAGGGTTGGGGTGGAGAGACAACAAAGAAATAATGTGTCATATGTTGATAGGAACTACAAAAAAAAATAACACAGGATGACAGTTTAGAGCAGCCCTTCTTTACCAGTCCTACCAGAGAATCAAGCTCTAATGCCCTAAGGCACTCTTTATATGCAATGAGTTAACTTTGCTCGGTGCAGCTAGAATGTTGCCAGCCACGTACCATCTTTGGAACTGGGGGGAAACAGCCATGGGTATCATTTTCTGCAGTGGGGTTTAATGCTCTCATGGACCTCTGGTTAAGAAAGTCTGGGTTAGAGAGGACAGGTGTGGGAGGGAACGCTACTTTGGATCATTTGACCTGGGCAGTTCTCTTTGACAGTAAGTTCTTTGAGCATAGACCTTAATTCAGTGAGGGAGGGAGGGCCCTGCAGACGCAAGATGGGGCAGAGTGTGTCAGCCAGAGCCAAGAGTGGGCTTGGTATTTCTGAGGAACAGTGAAGGTCGATGTGTCTGGAGTTGAGTTATCTATCAAGGGACAGAGGGCTGGGGATAACATCAGAGAAGTGGCTGGTGAGGGGTGGAGATGGCTGGCGGGACATGCCAGAGACATTTCTTCCTGCTTTCTTACAGTGGTGTGTGCCCTGCTTATAATATGGCACTTTTTGTTTTGAACTGTGATGGCTTAGTTAACCCAGCATGAGCCGACAGACAGGACTCATATCATGTTTTTATTGAATGAACCAGACCTCCTCACCTTACCCCTGCTTCTATTTGTGGTTTCTTCTGAAAGTTACCTGCACCAAAGTTGGACCACATGGAATTTCCAGTTCTGTTATCTTTTTCTTATATCAGTTTAGAACTTCCAAACATTTTATTTGGTAAGAATTTTCCTCATTTACATTTATGTTTTCTGTTATATGCATACAATATGGTGTTTCCTTCCATAAACTATTATCTGTCTTGTGGCTAAGTTTGCCAAGTGTGATATCTCCATCTAAAAAAAATCAAATTGTTGGAAGGGGTACATGGAGACTTTGAGTCTATTAATAATGTTTTATTTCTTAAGTCAGGGAGGTGTAGAGGAGCATATAATATTGTTATATATACATTGAAAGCCTGATGTATCATAAAATAAAAAGATTGTTTGTGTTCTTTACAGACAATATAAAGGATATAAGGAATAAAAACATACCTAAAAATGTCCAATGTGTTAGAACAAATTGGTACAGAGTTACAGTTAAGTGGAAAAGAAGGTACCAGTTATTAAAACACAGATACATAGATTTAAAATGTTCATCCTGGCTGGATTTATATGACAGATGATGACTAGAATCTTAGGTAATCTGTGGGTCTTTATGAATGGAATCAATTAAGTTTAGAGAAGCTATTATTGGTAGAGGGATAAAAACATACTTTAGCAATTATAAAGCAGTCTATGGGGGTTCTGATTGTACTTGAGCAATGGGTGAATTTCTGGAGACTCAGAGTTTATATCTCATCTCTCTTTTCTTTTCACATATACCTAATCTTGTTAAGGAATTTCTAGGAGGTAATGGGGCCTGAGGGGGGCAGGGACTACTTAAACTACCTCATGATTTTTATCACATACTAGCATACCCATTTCCTGAGACAGGATAGCCAGGTTACATATGTAAGCGAGCAGTCTGAAAAACAAAAACTGAATACCAGCCTGGATGTTCTTTTTCAAGTTCCTCAAGCAAGAATCTCTTTGTTTCTTGTTGCCTCTTTCTGTAACAATGACACTCTCAAAGAGAAACAAAAATGCTTTCCTTCTAGTTAAAAATTTAAATTACTCATGCTAGTTAAATATCACTGCACACTGTCCTTATTTTACCCAGGAGATAAAGCTACAAGTTTACAAGGTGAGAAAAATTTCTCCCCCATGTAAATGCTGTGAAATATATTTTTAAAAAGTGTCAGAGCAGGAAGAAAGCTAGTTTTTGGGCTCACATGTTGGGCTTCCATGTTTCTGATGTGGCAAATAAAGTCACTCTTGAGCTATTGTTGGTGGGGCGTTCTGAGGGGGCCCCACTAATTCAGTGAAGAACTAGGTCACACCCCACTATGGCAAATGTCACTCCACAGAAAACCTCTGAGTGACAACAGCTTTCCAAGATCCAGACACTGATCACTTTATTTCGAAGAATAACGGAATTTGATAAAACTACTCCAAAGAGGATTGAGACCTTCCCCTCCTTTCTTTAGGGAGCACGGCAAACTAAACTAATAACACAGCTATTTTATGTGAGATTTTGCCGTTAGTATCTAGATGTTCTGTATCACAAGGTACATCTTGAACTCAAATTTAACCAGTATTGGCTTGGAAATTTTTACAGGAGTGAGGCTAGATGAGGTTGTAGGGGCTGGGGGTATAGGCAGGGCAGCTGGGAATCTGCATTTTAACAAGTACTCCAGGTGATTTTGTTACACACTTTGGTTAATAGAGAATAACTCTATGATACACAAACAGAAATTGGCTTTTCGTTAACAAGGGTGTAAAGCCAGTGATGAAATAATCAGAGAGTTGATTAGTTTGTTATGGTTAACAAAAGGTAACAGGTTCTTTTTGCAGCATTTATTCAATCAACTGGAATTACACCTAGTCATGGACCTGGCTTTTCAATTTTTCAGTTTGTTCCACTGAATAGTTTTTGGAGCATTTTTTACCTATGCATTATTTGTGGCCTTTAGAAAAATCTGTTCTCACAAATTATGTGGACACTTTCCTCTGTTTTCAGAATCTTTATGTGATTAGTGATTTGGGTCACAGAGTTGGCTCTCTCTTGTTGAAGAATGAGTCCATTGGCCTGGCAGCTGATGCAGGTGCTCTCGGCATAGCTGCCTGCAAATCACCTGAGCAATGTTTTAAACCTGTAGTTGCCCAGGCCCCACTTGTCACCCCAATTGGAATATCTGGGCAAAGGACCCCAAAATCTCTTTCCTTAAAAGCTTTCCTGTGCAGTCCGGCTGGAGAACCACTGGTTTAATGACAGCAAAAGCAACTTTCTTTGAGACTTGCAAATATTTTTCTCCATTTTTATTGATTTTATTGGGTTGACACTGGTTAACAAAATTGTATGGATTTCAGGTGCACTGTTCTATAACACATCATCTGGACGTTCTATTGTATGTTCACTCCCCCATCAAGTCTTTGTTCATCAAACATGTTTTTCTTTTTTTAATTCTCACCTAAGGATATGTTTGTTGATTTAGAGAGAGAGAGGAAGGAGAGAAAGCAAAACATTGATGTAACAGTGAAATATTGATCAACATTGATTGATTGCCTCCCACATGTGCCCCAACAGGTGATCGAACCACAACCTATATATGTGCCATGACTGGGAATCAAACTTGCAACCTTTTGGTGAATGGGACCATGCTCCAACTAAGTGAGCTACCTGGCCAGGGCCATAGTTTTCCTGAGTAGACATTTCTTTATGCTTGTTATACAGCCAGCACCACTGTGGTGCCCCATGCGATGTGTTCCCCGAAACTCTGAATTTTGTGCTATGCCACCTCTGACAGAAATGTAATGAACAATGTCTACAATTGCTGGGTGGGCTTCACTTCTGGAGCTGGTAAGACAGAGAGGCCCAAGACACACTGAAAGGGTGCAGTTTAATCTAAGTGGCAGTGTGATCACATTCACACGCAGCAAGAGCAAACTGCTAGAAGCAGCGTCATGTCACCTGGTCTGAAGAGCTGGGGGAAGAAGGCTTTGGGGTGTTTGGCACTTAGACCTTTGAATCACTTCAGCACACTATTGGGGGTAACAAGAGCTTGATTATGCTGAACAACAAAGAATCTGGCTGGCCAGTCTGAAAATACTTAGTTTAGGTCAAATTTGAGAGATGGCAGAGACACTGGGCTTCCTCACTTCCAGACTCTGGAAATACTAACGAGATATCTGGGCAATTTTTGAGACTCCTAAAATAGGGTATTTTACAGCTTCTCTGGCTTATGCCTGAATTATCCAAGATGCTGAGACCATTAGCTTTCTGCATGTGTTTTCTATATGCCTTGTCCCGAGTTTGCCTGTGTAGTTCTACAAAAGACTGTAAGTTTCCAGAAACTACTTATCTTGCCTCTCTCTGGCCAAGGGTAGAGCACAATGGCACTCAGATGCATGTGCCCCATGCTTTAGGGTGACCTAATGTTCTGTAGAAAGAATACGTAGGCCCCACTTCTGGTTTCCATACTCCAACCATCACACTGGCACAGGTTTCTGCCCCAGAGACCAAGGGTGGGTAATGTGGAAATTAAGCACACCTTCCCTCAGCCGGTGCCCAAACTAAGAGCCGTGGCCAGGGCACCCCATATTTAGTCAGTCACTGGAATGCATTCTGTCAGTGAAGGTAGGAAAAGGAAAGGTCTTGAAAGTTTTAGATAACAGGGAGCAGGGGTTCCCACCATCATTTTCTGACAGATGCCCTTAAAATCTTGCTGCTTAAAGGGTAGATCTCAGATCAGGAGCATCATCATCACCACCTGGAGCTGTTAGCACAGAATAATCTGGGGTCCCCAACCCAGACTTACTGGATCAGAATGCTCCTTTTAACAAGACACGCAAGCAATGACTATTTAGCATCTCAGATACCCATTGGAGCCCCAGTCAGCCCCAGGAAAACAGAGACTCAGGCCTTTGGGCACACGTCGCACCCGCTCCACAGGGTAGCAACTGAACCTCCAGGGACATCGGAGAGGGTGCTGCCGAGGGCAATTTGGTGATTGGCTTACCTACCACGTGACCGGCGCTGGGCCTCCCGCGTTACCTGATTGGCTCTTGCAGAAGATGACGGACAGGGCTTGGTCTGAGGGGCGCGCGCGGGGGAGTGAAGGCGCGAGAACGCGAGTGCGCGTGCGCGTGCGGCGGGGCTTTCTCCAGAGCCGTCGGAGGGAGCTGGAGCACTTCTCCCGAGGTAACCGCTGCCGCGGGGCTGCCCCCAGCCTCTCCGCGCCCGGGTGTTGGCGAGAGGGGTGGGTAGGGCCGGGCTTACTGGAGGCGATCTGGGGTCCACCCGCCCGGGCAGTCCCGCTTCGGGGAGGATGCGGACCCGGGCTCAGCCACCCCCTCCGTGCCTCGGTTTCCCCCTTCCTACCTTGTAACGCAACTCCCCATCCATCTCACCGCGGTGACGGGTCCACCCGAGGGGAGTTGCCCCCCTGGCAGTCTGTCCTCCGCTTTTGTTTCCCGCCCGCACCGGCCCCCTCCCCAGGTAAAGGGTGAGTGAGGGTGGTGCAGCGGGGGCATCACGGGCGCCGGGCCGGGGCCAGGGCGAAAATGGCATTAGGACCTGTCACACGTGAGAGCGAAAAAAATGTAGTGTCACTTTGGCCAAGCCGCGGGACCCAACTAATCCGGCGGCGGCCCGCGAAGCCGAATTCCTAGCGCAGCTGTGCCGGCGAGCTGGGGGCAGGACCGCCGTTCCGAGTGCAGGTGCCGCCCCATGAAAGGCTTCTCTGTACCTGCCCGCGAGCCCTCAGCCCGGAGTTGCACCGAAATCGAACGCCTGAAGCCTGCTCCAGGAATCCAGGGCTTCGTTAAGAGGCGGATTTTTTTTTTTTTTTTTTAAGCGGTTGGGTCTTGGTAGAGCAGGTCTAAATGGGAGGCTACAAAAAGGAATTACAGATGCAGTGAAACTGATGACTGGTAAATTGTGTGGAGGGAAATGCCTGCAGTGAACTGCAGACCAGACCATCGCTGGAGATTCTTCTTCAAGAAGACAGGGGCCTAGGGCGGGGGTGGGGGGTGGGGGTAGGGGGTGGTAATCTCTGTAAACTGAGGTTTTTTCTGGGGAGTAATTACTTTCAGCGTGTTAATGGGCTGAAAGGAGAAGAGAAGCGAAGGTCTAAATTACACCTATTCAGACCTCCTTCATTCTTTGAGAAGTGCATGTCTAAAGAAGACTGGGTACCGAAAGCTATGTGTGTGTGTGCTGGGAGGGGTGGGGATGTCTTTTTTAAGTCATACTTTAAAAAGGGAGGGTGTGTGCAAGGCATCCCCTGCCTGGCTCTCCTCTTTCTCCCCAGGCCTGCACTGCAAGGGCACGCTGTGCACCTTGTAATGGAATACAAAAAGTTCACTTCATTTTCCACTGGTGGACTAATTAGCTAATTTATCTGATGTATCTAGTAGTCTACTCAGTAAGAAATGGTTCAACTAACTGTCATTAGGGAGATTTACTGGGTGCTGGAGTTTCACTGTAATCCACTCAGAACTTACTCTGGTATGAGGTGGACAAGAATCTTTTCACCTGGTTTCTCTGAGAAATCTTGATACTGCTTCAAAGCCCTTTTATAACACCTTCCCCATACAAAGTTTTGTTTTTTAAGGGAATGATGTGATTTTTTCATACATCTAAGACACACCTCATGCCTGTGAAATGTCTACGCATGCTGAGAAATTAATTTACTTGGCAAGTTAAACCGAGGAGGGAACACTTAAATTCATTAGGGGGAATCAGAACTAACATTTATCAGCTGCAACACATCAACTTCTGGTGGTTTTCTGAGGCAAATGAAAGTAGGAGAAGTTGCTGCAAAGCTTGTTGGGAATATAACAAATGACCCTGGTGAAGTGTAGTCACCTGATAAATTGGGACATAAAGCAAATTAGTGGGAATAATTTAAAAACTTGTCAGTGATCCGTTTTTCAGCTGGTATGTGACAGGGGAGAGGAAGGAATTCTGAATGTGGAGTAGGTGATATACTTTGAAAGGTATTCTTTTGTGTATTTTTCAGATGTCACTTTTGTTAACATAAACTACACAGAGGGCATGTGGTGTTTAGGTTTAGCCCTGGAAGGGGGGCAGGGGTTTTGAAAAGGTTGAGAAACACTTATTAGGATACACAAGGGAAAACAGGAAGATTGGCAGGCTTAGTTCATTTTGGAGGAAGCAGCGTACCTCAGTGACCTCCAGGACAAGGATTTATTCTCTGATTCAATAAAAGCCCAATCGGGTTGCTTTCAAAGCAACGACAAAATCATTTCCTGTGGTTGTTTCTGTCCCCTGGGTCAGGGATGGGGAGGAGGGAGAGCGACTGAGAGAGATTAGAGCCCGACCTGCATGCCTAAGCAGTGGTGTCCTCTGAGCAGGATCTGTGTCACATTGTGTGACTGTAAGAGCCTTCACGTTGGGAAGAGTCTGAGCTCCTTCCCTGGGTCACATGCTGTAAAATACACTGAAGACACGGCTACAGGTGGGGGCATGGGTGAGATCACCTGATAGAAAAGCACTGAGGGGAAAGGAGAGCCAGGAAGTGTTCCATTCAGTCAGGCTCTGCTGCTTGCCTTTGGAGCCTTGAGGCATTTCCACGCAGCGTTGCCTCATTTATTGGCTAGCCTGGCGGGGCTTTCGATGGCTTCCAGAAAACCTACCTTTCACGAACGAGTCTCCTGTGGAGGTTCCATGGCTCAGATTATAAACATCAGTTATGCTTGTAATATGCTCTAGAAAAGAAGGGCTCACAAAGACAGAAATCCAGGCTGCCGTTCTTTCGGGTCCTTGGCGCACGTTACCCACCGGCTCCCAGAAAACAAGTTGCGCCCTCCCTACCAGTAGATGGCACTGCTGCCTCTGGGAATTCCTGGAGGAGAGGGGGGGAAAAAACGGAGCTAGCTAACCAGCTGTGTGTAGCCTCTATTCTAGGAGATTTTGAAACGCCGTGTCAGGTCTTAGTCAAAGAGAATCTTTTTTAAAAAGTTCTGAAAGCCAGACCATTTATATAAGGTAGGAATAATGTGTGTTGTGGGGAATTGAGGAATGGGTGTGGTTACTTCCCTGGTTGTATGTGTGCGTCCCAGGGGGTAAGGCCGCGGGTAAACTAATGAGCACAGGGTTTGAAAGCATGTGGCAGACCTGTCGGTTAATTGAATGAGGTTGAAATCATGATTAGATCAAAATTCCCAGCACTTTCATAGCTACTAATTCTTTGGATGTAAAACTAGTCTACACACATGGGCTGTGGGAATGTACACATGGGACTTTTCAACCTGATCAGTATGCGATACTTAGGTTCTCTGGAGGTAGTGGTGAGGGCATTAGTAAAGATAATGCCGGTTTAAGTGGTTACTTTACTTCCTGGCTGTCCAGAGAAGGTAGCTCAAAGTTACCGTGAATCAGTTGCTTCCTAGAATACGTGTCAGGAATTTTCAAGTTTTAGATTTTCTTAGCTAATGTTGTCCTTCCAAAATTACATTAACAGTCAAAATCTTGAACTTTGGTTTTCTTGACCTTATTAGTCAGAGTTCATTCATCCATTCCCTTCTTTTGAAAAAGTTATTCTTTATTTTTGGTCACTGATTGTTCTTTGAAATGGATTTTGTAGCCATGACATTGGAGGGCGGTGGGTGCTGTTGCCACTGAGGTTACATTGTATATGAGAGCCTCACCTTTGACCTGTCGGAGGTAGAGGGCATTGCTGCTGCTGCATGTCATCACCCCAGTCACCTGCTTCCTCCTGTAGTTCTCCTCCCACAGGTCAGCTTATCTGAGGTTTATTTCTGTCTCTCTTCAAATGAACCGATGAGCGGGTTTGTACTCCCAATGCCTAAAACTGAGATGCTGCCGGTGCTAGATGGTAGTAGTGACAACAGCTTCTATTAACATTGCCTTGTCATGTGACCTCAAATCAACCTTCTTGCCTTTCTGAGCCTCAGTTTTCCTACCTGGTCACTGGGAGGGATTGGTAAGGTGGCACATGTCTCAAAATTTCTTCCAAGTCTAAAATTCTATGGCTAGGTGATTCTCTTAAGGTATTCCTGAAGCCTCTGAAAAATTCTCATCTAGGAGGTATTTGCATACTGTGAGCCTAGGACAAAAAGAAATCTCACTAATAGTTCTTCTCAGAGAAATGATTGTGCATTGTCTTAGAATCCTAATAATTCAGAGGTAGAAGACATCCTAGAGATGGCTTAACCCAACCTTCTCATCTGATAGACAGGGACTTGCAACTCAGAGCTGAGTTGATGTGACCAAGCGAATAGAGTTGATGGCAGAGACCTGGTTAGAGAGTGAGGACCATGCTGGGACTGATCTCAGCCTCCCCTCCTCCAGTGCCGCCTTTCTTCATCTGCCGTTAGTACACAGAATATGCTGTGTGTACAGGGCTGGAGCCAAAAAAATTCTGAGTAATTCCTTAATGTAGGATTTTAAAGCCACAGCACCAATAGTGTTGCATTTGGATAGAAGTTCAAGGTCAGGCTTCTCTGTGCAGCTCTTTCTTTTCTTCACTGACTGATCCTGAGCAGGATTCTTTACTTTGCATCTTTGATTTTTTTTTCAACTTTTCTGCATAAAAATTCCTGTAAGAAAGAACTTTCACCATCCTGGAAGAGTCATTCCCCGATCAGATGTCCTTAAATTGGGTCCATAGACCCTCTGAGGCTGTGTGGATGGAAGAGTATTTCCATGTAATTGGAGTCCTTTGTAATCATATACATTTTCTCTATACATTTTAACACATTATTCTGAGGAGGTTTGTAGGCTTCAACAGGTTGCCAGAGGCCCCATGGCACAAAAACAGGGTAAAAGTTCTATAGTAGGTTCTGGAAAACTGCCAGGATGGGAGAATTTTTGAGGAGCTGAAGAAATTATGGTGGAAGAGGGTTTGGGGATGGAACACAGAAGTAAACTTAAGATATTCTTACAACATTTTACCTTTATTAAACTGTTTCAAATTGCTCATTCAGTGAAGATCCTAGTAGCATTTTAGCCATCCTAAATTGATAATGGATGTGCAAGTATTGATTGCCATTTATCATTCCTTGTTCAATAAGTACTTCCTCCTAACTTTACCAAAACACTTTCAACAGTGCTTTATTAGAGATGACATGCATACTTAGAGCCTTCTTCCCCAGTTTGATTTGATTTCCAGACAAGTCAATGCCTTTTTGACTTATGAATTAAGAGTTTCTGACTCCTATCTTTTCTTTCTGTGACCCTAACATTTTACCTTTTAGGACTCACCATGGTCTCAGAGATGGAAAATGATTTGCATGCCTGGGATAAAAAATCTTGAGGTCCCTAGGATTTACCACAGAAACCACTGCTCCTCTTTGGCTCATTCTCTTATTTTTCTTTCTGTTTGAACTCCAGGTTCTCTCTTTTTCAAATTGTTCCCAAATATGAGTGACTCAGAGTTTGTATGTCTTGAAAATAAAAACTCTTGATCTTGCCAGAAGGTATGCAGAAGTTAAATTGTGTTCAAGTCACATTCTGGACAAGTGGGGCGTCAGTTTGGAGATCACTACATTTTGAAGATCATCTGCTTGAAAAGCTCTTGATGTCTGTCCTGTGCTGCCTTGCTGACATTTGGTACTGTGGTGACCCATGCTGGTGGATGTCACCTCCTGGTAATTTTTTGGGTATGGGCCAGAGTAGTATTTGTTCTTGATTTAGAAGAAGAATAAAAAAGGACCTTTTCTTCTTCAGAAGGTTGATGTCAGTTGAGTTTATGTTACAGAAAAATATCAAACTTGTGAACTCTGGTCCCAGTGCACTGAGTTATTGTGAGATTTGGGAGGCGTCATAGACTTCTCTGAGTTTGCTTCCTTGTCCGGCAAATATAAGTAGAAAGCAGTGACCACTGAAATTCCAATTCTAGGTCCTGTGACTCAGTAAAATTCCCCTTGGTACATAGGCCAAACATGTCCTAAAAATGCTGGCTCATTGGGAATTCATTTACAGGCACAGTCAGTGCCGAGACAAGACATACCTGCAAATCACTTTGTGGTTTGCAGACAGATTCTGTAATTCTTCACCTCTGTTCTACTTAAAGTGTGATTGAGGAACAGCATTGATATCCTCTGGGAGCTTGTTAGAAATGCAGAATGTCAGGCCCAACCCAGGACCTCTTGAATCAGAATCTGCATTCTATCAAGATGCCCAGGTGCTCTGCATGCATGTTATAATATGAAGAATGCTATGTCTCATTTTTGAGTCTCACATTGACCTCCTGGGTCAATGAGGAAAACAGTATTTTACATAGAAGAAAATCAGGAAACAAAGACTCGGTTGTTAAGTAACTAAACTGTGCTAGTGTCTGACCTAGAGCTCTGTACTTTATTTATTTTATTTTTCTAAGATTTTATTTATTTATTTTAGAGGGGAAGGGAAGGAGAAAGAGAAGGAGAGAAACATCAATGTGTGGTTGCCTCTGGCATGCTGCCTACTGGGGACCTGGCCTACAACCCAGGCATGTGCCCTGACTGGGAATCAAACCAATGACCCTTTGGTTCCCAGGGTGGTGCTCAATCCACTGAGCCACACCAGCCAGGGCCAGAACTCTGTACTTTAAACCTAATGTTGCTTCTTCGGGTTGGCTAGACTCAAGATTGTATGATAGAGACTAACTAGCTGCCTGGCAGCCTATGGGCTTGGTTGTGATCATGTGTCTGAGTTCTAGCCAAGAGAATGTAGACAAATGTGCAAAAGTGTTGTGATCCACTTCTGGGAACAATCACAGCAAGAGAGAGTGCCCATGTGAGTTCCTCCATGTTCTACACTCCTAGCAGGCTGGAATGCAGAGGTCCCCTGGGGCAAGCTTGGAAATTACGGTTTTAAGATCGCAGAACTTTTTCAGCCTGGGTGCCTAGATCACTGATTAGGGAGGGCCACTCCATCAACTCACCTGTTCACCTGTCCAGTATGTATACAGAAACCAGAAATAAAGTTTTATTGAGTTTGAGTCACTACATGCGTTTGGGTCCATGTTAGGCACTCAGCCTACTTTAACATACTCACTTGAGCAGTGGTTTGGGGCTTGAAGTTATTGGTCTTTTGGTCTAATGCATTCATTCATTCTTCATCTTTGACAGTTGGTGATCAGTCGGTAGTCGTCCAACATGCAGAAGTGAGTAGTGAAAAGCAGCAGAGCTGATGGGTCGTGAGGATGTAAGTGTGCTTGAAGGCTCTCACACCCCCTACTCCAGGGTAAGTCAAAGGCACACTCCACCGTTGTTTCTCTGGTTTTACTGAGTCATAGAGGCTCTTGTCTCAACAGTTCCTTGGAGTCAGTGTAGTGGGGTGCCCTGTCTATGGAAGGTTCTCAAACCTTTTATTGATTCAATTCATAGACACAGTGAATCAGCAATTACGAAGATAAAACCATGATCGGAGTGATGGGATGGAAGCTGTGCATAGAAATACTCAACACAAGGATTTTCAATGAGTTTGCATGGAACGTACTCACATGTGTGAGGAGGTAGTTGTTGGGCCCTTCCTGAGACGGGAGCTAGGCCTGTTTCTTTCTCGTAGCCATTTCATGTTGTTATCAGCTGGCTCATCTTCCTCTCTCAGCCTCCCACTCCTTCGTGGATCGACTTTCCTTCATCAATGACTTTTTTCCAGGAGGGGGAACAGCTTACCAGAGAGTTGATGATTCCAAGTTTGGCAGATAATGGCACCAGCAAAGCCTGTGGCTCTGTCCGTTCCATTTTATTTTATCCAGTGTCACTGGAAGTCGTATGTCCATTAGTTCCTCTTCTGTTTGCAGTCCCTCTGACAATGGCTGTGGGCATTGGGAACATTACAGCCAAAGTTGGCTTTGGATCTTCATTTATGCTGAAGATTTTTGAGACCAAAAGGAGAAATTTACTGTTTGATGTATCTTCCTCAGTGTCTGTATGGAGGTTCAGGAAGGAGAGGTGGAGAGGATACCCCATCCTTTCTGAGCTCTTCAACTTCTGGTGTGTAAACTAAAACTAGACTCCTTAAAGAAAAAACCATAATTAATATAAATCTAAGCAGAGATAAGGATGGGTGGGAAAGAGGGATGGGATTTTTTAAAAAAGTACTCAGCTGAAAAACTGGGTGGAGGGTTGATTAAGCAGCTTAGCTCAATACTGTGGAACCCTAGTCAGATAACTCCCATTACCCAGACTCAGACAGAGGGCACCCAGGAAGGCTGGTGTCCTTTGGTGCCTCACGTGGCTCAGTGGTGAGTACAATTTACTGAACAAAACAGACAATGAGGGGCTGTAGCTCTCTGGAGATTCCCACAAACATACTGCTGCTCTGGAGTGATGCACCTGCTTAGAGACAAGCAAGGCAGAGAAGAGGCAGCTGCGAAGTGTGCCGACAGCTGAAGAATCCAGACAAGCACTCAGACTCGGACCATAGCTCCAGGCCTGGGGGCTGCCTACGAAGGGACCTGGTCTCGTCCAGGTTTTCTCCTGAAAGGACAGGAGCTGGACTTTGCTCTCTTTCCTCATTTTCTCAGTGTCTGTGGGGGATTGTTCCAGGTAGTACCGTATTTGCATATAACCTGTATTTGCATACAGGCTCCAGCAAGGTGTGCCTAGCACTCTGTTCCTGTGGAGTCAGTGTAGAACTCAGTGCATGGCAAATCCAAGTTTTGGTTTTTGGAACTTTGTAGGATTTAGTCCTCAAATATTTTCAATCCATGGTTAATTGAATTTGAGGATGTGAAATCCATGGATACAAAGAACCAATTGTATCTTCTATTTTAGAAGTGACTAAAAAGTGTAGCATGCCAAAATAGTACTTGACTGGCATGTTTCTGTGTAAGTACTGCACAGGGATCACATTGTAGAGAGAGCCATTCATTAACTATTGATTAGAGGGCAAAAACAGTGATGTTAGAGAAGCTGGGGAATCGGGTTCCCATTCTCAGCACCATTGACATTCTGAGCTAGGCAGCTTGTTGTTGGGGGGCTGTCCTGGGTACTATAGTGTGCTTAGTGGCATCCATAGCCTCTGCCTACTAGATGCCAGTTGTGCCACCTCCCCCCAGTCATGACAATCACAAATGTCCTCAGACATTCCTAAATGCCCTTGAGTGGAAAAACTGCCCCTGGTTGAGAACCGTTGCTGGAGGAGCACAGTGATTTAATCTTGCTCTGAGTTTCCCTGGGACTGTGTTTTAACCTTCTGGCCTCATTTTGGTATAGTTTCCCTACCGGCAAAACAGACACAGTATTAATAACTCAACCTAATAAGGTGATATACATAGGTTACTGTGTGACTACTTGGGAGCGCTACAAATGCTAAGAAACATTACCTGGCTCACCAGATTTCCAGGACCCAATGATCGCTCGTAATCCTTGTGATGGCAGTAACTGAGCAGCAGTGGCATTTGAAGAGGGGCAGAGGGCCAGTGGTGTGGGAAGTGATGAACCGTCCGGGATTCTGATTTTACTTGAAGACTTCATGTCCTAGTTTATTACAACACTATATTCTGGTTGAAGTCTTTCTTTTGGAAAATTGGGGAGGGGGGAGGGGACTGGGTGAAAAAGGTGAAGGGTAAACAAAACAAAACACAACAGAATACCTCATGTGGTGGTCACCAGAGGGAAGAGGGGCTTGTGGAAGGTGGAGAAGGGTAAAGGGTGGGGGGGTAAATGGTGATGGAAGGAGACTTGACTTGGGGTGGGGAACACATAGTACAGTGTATAGATGATATATTATAGAATTTTACCCCTGAAGCCTATATAATTTTATTAACCAATGTCACCCCAATAAATTCAATTAAAAATGGGAGAGTGGAGTAGGCAGAAAGAAGGCTACTCGGAAGAGCAAAGAAATTACTTTTGACAACATGATCTTTTACTGTTAAAGGGACTCATGTATAATTAGACAAAAGAACAGAAAGAAGTAACCCCTCAAAGAAAAATATCCTCCTGAATGATTACAGATCCTAGAATAGATTTTGCAGGTAATAAGATAAAGACCAGTGAATGTTCGGAGAAAGCTGTTTTTATCCTAGAACTTTTATAGTTGTTTCTTCTCTTCTTTGGTAATATGGAAAGGGGTATTTTCAACACATTGCCTGTGAATGATAAACAAAATGCTTTAATATGACATGTGTTCTTTTGGTACTGTTACATTACTCCGTGTTGGAATGGTGAGAGAGATCACCTCCCCAGCCTGATCCTGAATACAATATTATGTCTTTTTAATAAAAAGCCTCAGGTTGGCTCTCAGATAGGGCCAGTGCAGGTATTAGATGTGAACTGTCCTGGCAGATTTGAGTTCAGCCTTGCTGAGCATCCGGTCCTTGTAATTAGTAGACACACTCAAGAAACTTACAACAAATGTGCTCCACTGTGGATTTAATATGTGGAGAAGCCATCTTAGACTGTCTTGTTTATTTACGTTCTGTCATACATGTAGGGTCGTAGGTTTTAAGCAAACTGTGTCAGAATATTTGAGAAGGATGCTATGTACCTTGAAGAAGGAGGCACTTTAGTGTAGCAGAAAGGTGACAAACGAAAACAGCTCCAGTTTGATAGAGGCAGGCTGGGGTCTAAATGTTCATGTTTTCATTCTAGTGCTACTCAGTTTTGGCCCTGGACCACCAGCATCAGAATCCCCTGGGCACTTGTTTGAAGTGTTTAGACCTACTGAATCAGCAACTCTGGGAGTGAGTCTAGTACTCTGTGCTTAACCACACCTCCAGGTTACCCTGATGGAGACAGAAAGTTGAGAAGCAGTGCTCTCCTGATTTCTGATGTAGTGACATCTTAATGAATTGTGTCGGTGGTGAGGAGGGTACTGAGAAAAGTATTTTTCCAGGTGGTCAGAAGGTATGTAAGATTTTTCTTGTGCTGACCGCATAGATCATTTTCCCAAAACCTGGTCTGAGCTTTTTCCTGCATTGTCCAAGACAAGAGCCACTAGCCACATGGGTTTCTTTTTATTTGAATTAATTTAAATTGAATAAAATTAGATATTCATTTTTTTTATTTGCACTAGCCACATTTCAAGTGCTCCATATCCACATGTGGTTGGTGATGCCATAGGAGACAGCACAGACACAGAGCGTGTCCATAACCAGAGCAAGACCTATTGGGCACCGTGGCCGTAGTCTAGAAGGGCCTTCTTTCATGGAAACCCACATTTGCAGTGATCGTGGGCTCTTGTTGTAACAAGCCCTCAACTCTTTTTAACCAGAATTGCATTTTGGACTGCTACATCCTGGGGAGCCTTTTGGTCTGTGAGTCCTGTTTTGCTGAACGTTTTACCTCTGGTGCAGCATCTGTTTGTTACAGAAAGTGCCCTGAGACTGTCTCTCTGACATAACCAAGTGTAGCACCTCTAAAATTAAACCAAGGCTGTTGAGCTGTCTCTTTCCATTTGGTCTCTTTATGCCCAGACCCTTGGAGCTGAGGCTTGTTTGTGCAGTATCCCTCTGTTGGTACTGCCTGAAGCTTAACAAAAAGCCTGGGAGAGGTGGCAAGAGAATTTTCACTTCCTCTTCTTCCAAGTCCCAGCATGGCTCAAAAAAGTGTTTCATAAGAGGGTAATAATTCAGGAGAGTAACCTCTGAGGAATTATCCCCTAAGGAATTAGTCTCCAAAGCAAATTTTCCAACAGACATATTATAGCACAAATTTAGTAATTAAGCCCTTGAGCAACAGGGAATAATTTTCAGTTGATATTATCTATTATTACCAATATTAGTTGCTCAGAAACTATCATAATTAGAACAGATGAAAAGCTGTGGAAATAAAGAAAATTTTTAAAAGATATAATTTAAATCTAACTGAACCCAGGATTGTTTTGCATGGTAGATGGAATGAGAATAAGGAGTTTGCACCCCATGAGTATTATTGCTAAGGATGAGGGTGGGGGATGCATGGGTGCTGAGACTGGCCCTTGGGCAGCCTTTGCTCGGTGGCCTTGCTTCTGATGGGGGACATTGCTTGTTTTCTTACTACCCTCCTCTCTTCAGCCTGCCTTTCTCTCCTGCTTTTGTCTTCCCTGGATGAGGGGGCTGAGAGGTGCTATTAGCATTTTGATAGAATGGTTCATTTGGTAGATCAATTAATCATCGTGTGGAACTTTCCTGTTCATTACAGGACATTTAGTATCCCTGGTCACTAAATGCTTATATTTCTCTAGCCAAGTCATAAGTCAACCAATATGTCCCCCCATACTTCCAAATACATGCAATTAAGAATCACTGTCTT